TCATGCATGGAAACTGGTGTGGAACATAACTGTGACAGAAAAAGGCAATCTAACATACTGCACTGTGAACTCTATGCCCCTTTTGATATTTCGCCTTATGCACTCCACGTACCAAAAACCTCAGACCCGATGGTTGTGGTGGATATGTGGAGAATGGGCATACAAGCAACTCCCTCCCAAATGGAGTGGGACTTGTTTCCTGGGATGGGTATTACCACCAATGTGGATTATGCCCACTAGTTCGGCAAAGCGTACACGAAGAAACGCTGATATTTCTCATATAGCAGGAGGAAGTACCCAAAGTTGGAGTGATACTGATGATTGGCCACCAGAGCGCATTATAGCCTATTATGAGCCTGCCTCCTGGAATCCTGATGAGCTCATACAAGGGGCACGGGATCCTATTTATAATCTAAACAGAATAATTCGATTGCAAGCAGTAGTGGAACTTGTAACCAATGCAACGGCCCAGAGTTTGAGACTTATTGCACAACAGTTGGATGAAAGTAGAGCCGCCATTTTGCAGCTGAAAATGGGAATGGATTATGTACTTGCCAGGCAGGGAGGCCTATGTGGAGTCTTAAACTTGACAGGGAATGCCTGTTGCTTTAACATTTCTGATAATGGTGAGGCAATCCGTGTGTTGGCCACAAAGATGGAGAGTATAGCACATGTCCCAGTACAAATATGGGAAGGATGGGATATGGGATGGCTCACCAATTGGTTACCTAATGTTGCGGGACTCAAAGGGATACTATTGTCTTGCTTGTTTTTCTTGACGGTAGTAGTAATGGTTTTATGTACGGTGCCATGTATCATTTCATGTTTTAGAAGTACAATTAGCAAGATGATTTCAAATGAAACTTTACCTCATATTATGGCCCTATACAGAGCTTTACCTCAGGAATATGATGAAGGTCAAGCTATCAAGGACACTTGGGATGAAGGTCCTTGAGCTTGAAAGGGGGGAATGAGGCATCTGATCAAAATCTGCTTTGAGCTTAAAAATTATATTTGTAAATATATTTTTCTCTCATGCCAGGGAGAAGACCAGCTTGAATACTCTGGCAGCTGTTCAAGGGCCCCACTGCTATAAATAGCAGTATTTCAGGGTTGTAAAAAGTATTTCAAGGTTGTAAAAGGAAATTAGAGCCAGAGAGCAAAAGGTCACACTGACCAGAATACAATCAAGCTGTAAAAACACAATTAAGAACTGGTAAATAGTGAAATTTATTGTTTAACAGAAGACTCGAGCCATAAGGTTAAAGGTTAAATGGAAGAAACAGCTGCTGGTTAGGGAAAAGGTTTCTTTATAGAACTAAGAGAACTTAGCTTTTACTAAGTTCCTTCTAATTTGAAAAGGCCTTTCCTTCTAAAAATCTATCTATGTTATGTATGAAATATATTGGCTTAAATGTAATTATGCAAAGGATTTAGAAAGTAAGAAATGTTAGATTCTTATGTTAGATTCCTATTATGGTGGGTGAGAAGGTGAACTCAAGATCTCTTTAAGATAAAAAAATTAGAAACCATGCACCATCTGCTTTAGCCATCTGGTTTGCGGTGAATAGGGCAACAGGGGCCAAAGGTTATCTGGTAATTGAGGTGCCTGGTCGAGGTAAATGTAAGATATATGGCTACTTGTCTGCCATTTATGGATACAAGGAAATATAGCTTTTTGTCTCCCATAAAAGGAAATAGGAAATGGGTGTATCTTTTATGATTGGTTCTAGCAAACAACCAATAGGAATTTCAACCAGGCTGATTGGACAGAGGCAGCCAAAGGAGGAGCAAGGGGGCTGGGCTGAGGAAATATAAGTGCTGGCCATCAGGGCTGGAGTAGGCAGAGCTTTGGTATCCATATACCACTGTGTCTCTCATTTATTTGTCTGACAAATAAATTATTATTTTAATTTCTCTATTGCTGCGTTGAATATTTCATTCCAGCTAAGCGTTAACCACAAGCAGGGTGCTACATTAGCATAGTTCAGAAATGGCAGGTGCTGCCCCACTTCATCAGTAGCTGGAGAGGGAGACACCATATCAGTGACAATGACCCAAAACCAGTTCCAAGAACAATCTTGACTTCCATACAACAAAGGTTCATTGTCATCATGTTAAAGAAAAGCAATCCAAAGACTAGAGATTTGGGAGTACCGCCTTCTGTTGCTGGAAAAACAAAAGAAAGTAATTATTAAATTGTTGAAAGCAAAGCAGAAAGCTTGATTGATGGTGGAAATAAAGATTTCAATGGATGATAGAAATTTCAGTATCTTTTTTTGTTCCCTGCCACTAAAGAACACGAGAAAATGAAAGTGGAGCGATCATTGCTAGCTGTGAGAAAAAGAATACGAATCAGGAACACAAGAAGTGTGAACGTGCCCCGTCTCCCTTGATTAATATGATTTGATAAATATATGAATCAATGGTGCAATTGCCCTTGGAATACTATGTGCGATTCTGTTTGCCTGACCTCCAAAAGGAAATTGTAGAGCTGGAGAAAGTTATTATTATTATTAACAACAAAAAACAAACAACAACAATTTACTTATACCTCAGCTTTTCCCCCTGACAGGGACTCAAGGCAGCTTTTGGATAAAATAAAACAATTAAACATTAATAAAATTAAAACCACACCCCCCCACACACATCACATACAATCACAGCAAAAGCAGAACGGCAGCAGCCCATTTGTTAAAAGCAGTCGGTTTCTAAAATGGAAGTCAGTGCAACTGAAATGAAACTAAGCTTTCTCTGTGGGATGACAGCAGGGGGGAAATCAACGAGTGGAATTGTTTTAAGAGGGCTTTTTCCCTAGGGGGTACTGAGGGGCACGCAGTACCCGTACCCCTCTCTCTCTTGCTTAAAAAGTGTGGTACTTAGTGTAACAATTTCATGGTGAGTACCAGCACCTATTTTTCTAGGAAAAAAGCATTAGTTTTAAGAGTTGTCTTTTTTTTTAAAAAAATGATATTTATTAAAGTTTCAAAGAACACAAAAACAAAAAATAAAAATACAAGACAATACAAAATACAGAAAAAAGAATAAAGTTTTTAAGATATAACAAAAAAATGAAGAATAAGAAGAAACATACAAAATAAAAACAGTTAAAAACACGTTAATTTTCCATAACATATCTTCCTTACACTTATTTCCCGGACCTCCTCGTACCTCCCTTTTTGTATTCCAGTTCAGTTTGTTAGTTCAGCAAATCCTTACCATTAAGCTTTTACCCATTTGTACACCTTTGTATACGTATCTCTTAAAGCATTACAGCTGGAAACCACTTAGTTTCTATCCAACATCCTTCTAAAATTCCTTAATTTTACAATATTTCTGTAAATAGTCTTTAAATTTCTTCCAGTCTTCTTTCACCGACTCTTCTCCCTGGTCTCGGATTCTGCCAGTCATTTCTGCCAGTTCCATATAGTCCATCAGCTTCATCTGCCATTCTTCCAGAGTGGGTAGATCTTGTGTCTTCCAATACTTTGCAATGAGTATTCTTGCTGCTGTTGTGGCATACATAAAAAAGGTTCTATCCTTCTTTGGCACCAATTGGCCGACTATGCCCAGGAGAAAGGCCTCTGGTTTCTTCGAGAAGGTATGTTTGATACCTTTTTCAGTTCATTATATATCATTTCCCAGAAAGCCTTAATCCTTGGTCACGTCCACCAAAGGTGAAAGAATGTACCTTCAGTTTCTTTACATTTCCAACATTTATTATCGGGCAAATGATAGATTTTTGCAAGCTTGACTGGGGTCATGTACCACCTGTATATTATTTTCATAATATTCTCTCTTAAAGCATTACATGCCGTAAACTTCATACCTGTGGTCCACAACTGTTCCCAGTCAGCAAACATAATGTTATGTCCAAAATCTTGTGCCCATTTGACCTTATCATACCATAAGTATGCGTGCCATCCAAATACATTGTTAAAACCTTCTAAATCCAAAATGTCTGTGTTTTCAAGAAGTAGCCATTCTTTCAACCAGCAAAAAGCTGCTGATTCATAGTAAAGTTTAAGGTCTGGCAGGGCAAATCCACCCCTTTCCTTTGCATCTGTTAATATCTTACATTTTATTCTGGGCTTCTTGCCCTGCCAGACAAATCTAGAGTTGTCTTAAATGTCAGAGCTCAAGTTTTTTTATTTTTTGGAAGGAGGTAAGAGGCGATAGACAGATCCTCTGGATACTGGGGGAAGTTGAATTCCTCAGAAATTTCAGAGTGTAGGGTTGGCTCAGCTATGTCCAGACCAGCAGTGGGGCATCTCCAATTAGGCCTATCAGACTTTACCTTTCGGCCCCTGAAGCCCTTTTGGCCAAGCCACACATCCCACCCTACCTTTGGCATCATGCATGATGTCAGGTGTGGGGCAGTGTGGTATGCCCCACAAAGGACATTGCGATCTGCAAACAACAACATCCTGGAGATCCTGGGCCTCAGGGAGAAAAGGCTGGCCTTGAATTTCAGTAAGGCTCAGAAGCTCTGTGCCTGGTATGACCTCACTGGATACAGTCCTCTAGAGTCGCCTCTGCGCGCTGAACCCAGAGGCGCTGCTATTGCTGGGAACAGACTCAGCCTCCCCTATGCAGCAGAGGTCTGGCCAATGAACAGCCCAAATACATGAAACTATGTAGACTTTCTCCCCAAAATAATGTCACTGAATGAACTTTTCTTCACTCAGATCATTGCCCTGGGGCAATCAGGGGGGGAAATTAACCTCTCTATTCATGAGGAGTGTCCTCTGTTGCCTTCCTTGCTGATACCAATGTGGAGAGGTCACCAAAGTGTGCTGGCAAAACTCATAATAAATAAGTTGTGCAAACTGACCTTTATCCCTGTTATTCTTAACACAGGCTCATTCGTGGAAAATAGTTAATCTTTAAATGAGTTCAGGCTCCTTGGATTTATAGGCAGCGCTTGGGATGCCCATCCACTTCTTTGCAGAACCAAAGTACCAGGAGCAGCAAAGTCAACGACGGCCGTCAGCTCCCAAATGGGCCTCTTTGGAGTGTTGCCCTTCTTGCTGGTCTCCTGCATCACCTTCTTGCTTATCCTAATCCGGAGGAGAGGTGCCACAAAGGGCAAGCTGCCCCCAGGCCCCACCCCATTGCCTTTGCTGGGCAATTTGCTCCAGTTGGATGTTCGGAACATCGTAACATCTTTTCAGAAGGTGAGTGTGGGTCTCTGCTGCCAGCAGGGCTGGGGGCTGCTATGTGAAGGAGGTGTCCCAGTGCCATTTGGAGTGGAAGAGGAGGAGCTACCCCTAGGCAGGATTTGTTACTGCAGAAAAAGAGGAAACTGCCTTATACAGATTCAGACTATTGAGCCATCTAGTCATGTTTTCTTCTGCTCTGCACTGTCCGGCAGTAGCTCTCCAGGGTTTTAGATGGCAGGGACTGGACCTGGTCCTTCTGCATGCAAAGCATGTGGTCTTCCACTGAATCACACCCTTTCACGCTGTCGCTTTCCCTTCAAGTATCAGGTGTGTTCTTTGTCTCTTGGCAGTTCCAGGAGCAGTATGGCTCAGTCTTCACTGTCTACATGGGCTCCCGGCCAATCGTGGTGCTGTGCGGTTATGGAACCATAAAGGAAGCACTCATAGATAATGCAGAAGCATTTGGAGGGAGAGGACCGATGATGGGTATGGATGAAAGCATCAGGGATTATGGTAAGTGGCAGCTTGAAAACAGAGTGTTTGTAGCAGAAATGAATGCAACCGAAAGCTGGGATGGGATAAATTCAGTGGCGTAGCGTGGGGGGGTGCAGGGGGGGCCGGTCGCACTGGGCGCAACATCTGGGGGGGCGCGCGCTCGCACTCGCAGCTCTCTGCCCCTACCTGGCTCACTCACTCTCTCTCACTGCAGTGCTGGCTGTGCGAATCCGATCCGAGCCGCTGGGTTGCCGCCCACTGTGGAGGGGGTGGGTGCCAGGCGTGCGGTGCGGAGAGAGAGCGAGGGACTATCTGGGGGAGGGACAGTGCAGCAGCCGCCCAGCGCAGCGCTGAGCGCGGGCGAGAACCACACCAGACCAGACCAGGCAGCAACAAGAAGAAGCTGGCAGCGGCGGCAGGTTAGGGGTTAGGGGGCGCAAATTACTTGCCTTGCCCCGGGTTAGGGGGCGCAAATTACTTGCCTTGCCCCGGGTGCTGACAACCCACGCTACGCCGCTGGATAAATTTATCTTGCAATATTAGAGGAAGGGCCATAGCTCAGTGTCAAGAGTACCTGCTCTGAATGCCGAATGTCCCAGCTACAGTCTCTGGCATTTACTTGAAACAATGGAGAGCAGGTGCCAGTCAGTATACTGAGCTGGATGGACCACATGCCTGACTCGATAGAAGGCAGCTTTCTATGATCACTGTCTTTTTCTTCTTATTTTTGAACATTATCCATATAAACCCAATAATAAAATAGAACTTCATGAGTCAAACATATAAAAAGTAAATCAAACCAAGCCCAGCCTGGGATTCTACATTCACAAGAAGCAATAATAAAGCAATTTATCTGGATATTTGCGATGAGATAACATACAAGTGGAGAGTACCATCATAATAAATGAGAAAACAAGAGGTGTGGTGCACTTGATTTACAAGATATACCAAAACATGAACCTATAACTGAAGCCACCAGAGGGAGAAGGAGCACTGTGATTCTATAATTTAATATAGCTCAGGACTACTTTTAGCCTGAAAATTGCATTCCACTATAGGAAACTTTTCAGTGATGTGAATGACTGTGGTAAGTGGTGCTGGAGCCAAGGTGTGGGGGGAAAGAAGAGGGAAAGGTTTGCATGGCCTTTCTTCCTTCCTTCCTTCCTTCCTTCCTTCCTTCCTTCCTCCCTCCCCCCTTTCGCCTTCTTTCTGCCACACACACTTCATCCTTCCATCTGTTATCAGTATTTTCTGAGCTAGATGGACTAAGTGGTCTGACTCAGTATTCCTGCATTCCTGCATGGCAGGGGGTTGGACTAGAACAGGGGTGTCAAACTCAAATTCATCGGGGGCCGCATCAGCAGTTTGGTCACCCTCAAAGGGCCGGTTGTATCTGTAGGACTTACAGTACAGGAGAGAAGGGTTCAGGCAGCCGTTGGATCTGTCACATCACAGGATGGCATGCGCTCAATATAAAAACAAGTGGAGGTTTCCTGTGTAGAACGGCCGGCGCCGCTAGAGGGCAGACGTTCTCTGGCTTGTAGGCTGCCGCGCATGCGCTGAAGAGGCGGCTTTCTTGTGTAAAAAAAAAAAGCGAGAATAAAAGGTGAAGGCTGGCGGCCGGCGGCGGCTACACGGGCCACATGACGAGGTCTGGCGGGCCGGATTCAGCCCGCGGACCTTGTGTTTGACACCCGTGGACTAGAAGTTCATGGAAATCCCTTCCAACTCTATCATTCTAAGGCAGCTTTCCTATCTTCCTTTTCTAGGGATGGGGGAGAAATTAGACTCACTTTCGATTTTCTCACTTTCCAGTGTTCTCACTTTCCCCCATTTCACTCCTAGGAATGGCAAGGTCAACCAATTTGGCTTTTCTAGACTTCTCATTTTTCCACTTGTCCACATTTTCACACCACTTTTCTTTAAAAACAGCAACAAACCTCTCCAAAATTCTCCAGTGTTTTAGTTCGGATTTCTCCTAGTAAGCACATTTTTGTGTGCCGTTGTGACTAATGTACACATTTTATCATTGCAAGCAAGTTCCCCCAGTACAATGCATTTTGATGTTATTTTCACTGTTTCACGAATATATCTTAATGCCTGCTTTCCACTGTTTTTATAAATATTGACTGGAGAACCGCACTGCAAAATTTGGACAAGTGCAAATTTTGAAGTGTGGCTGTGTTTCAGTTCTCCTATTGTTTTGCAAAGTATAAATGAGTGTGAATTAAATGTGAACCGAATCCTATTTAATGTAGGTAAGCTGCTTCTTCTCTCTCCCTTCACAGCTGCCTCTTCCTCCCTGCCCTCATTCTCACCTTCTCCATCTTTCATTTCTTTCTTGTTGCCACTGGAAAGCCGAACTCTTGTTGGGATGGTTGGGAGGTCCCAAGAAGGAGAGCCATAGGCCTGGTGGTTGGTTCCTGTGGTCCAGAGGCCTGCCACCCCTGAGCTGATTCAAGGCGGTGAAATTATGCCGAAAGTCTGCTTCCCCTCAGCTCATGCCAACTGTCCCTCCATCTTTCTGTGCGGTGACTTCCATGCCAGGGCTTCCTCTAAAACTGCTGCAATGCAGGGGGTTGGACTAGAGGACCCCTGGGGTCCCTTCCATGTCTACAATACTGTGATTCTATCCCTCTTCATCTCAGAGAAACCAGAAACACATTGCTTTTTCCACTGTTCTGTGTGTGGCCCTTCCATCTTCTTTTGGACCTGACTTGTAGTGAAAAAAATGTCCCCCCTGGAACATATGGCTGTCCCTGTGAGAACGGGATTGTTAAACTAGAGGGAGGTTCTGTGTGCCATTGTTTTCCGTGTAGCGCCTCCATCTTTTCCCCCCCAGTCTTCTGCCTTTTCTGTGGCGTTTTTCTCCATTTCCAGGCGTGGTTTCCACCAACGGGGAACGGTGGAGGCAGCTGCGTCGCTTCTCCCTCACAACCCTGAGGAACTTTGGGATGGGGAAGAGATCCATCGAGGAGCGGATCCAGGAGGAGGCCCAGTTCCTGGTGGAAGCCCTGAGAAAAATGAAAGGTGAACGTTTCCCCTCAGAAGGGGTGTTCTTTTTGACATTGTCGTAGCAGGAGGTGAGGAAAACGATGTTGTAACTGAGGAACAGCCGCTCATCCTGCCAAAACACCCGCCATGCTTTCCTCACAATCGTTCAGTCCCCTGTCAAATAAGTGGGTCCGGCTTTCCTCCTTTGCACCTGCCGCTTTGCCCACAGAGTTTGTCATCTGGTTTCAGGAGATGGTGTTAGTCCCTTAGGAAGATTGTGGCACGTACACTGGTACCTCAGGTTACATACACTTCAGGTTACATACGCTTCAGGTTACAGACTCTGCTGACCCAGAAATATTACCTCAGGTTAAGAACTTTGCTTCAGGATAAGAACAGAAATCGTGCTCCAGCGGCGCGGCGGCAGCAGGAGGCCCCATTAGCTAAAGTGGTGCTTCAGGTTAAGAACAGTTTCAGGTTAAGAACGGACCTCCAGAACGAATTACCGTATTTTTCGTCCTATAGGACTCACTTTTCCCCCTCCAAAAATGAAGGGGAAATCTGGGTGCGTCCTATGGGGCGAATGCAGGCTTTCGCTGAAGCTTGGAGAGCGAGAGGGGTCGGTGCGCACCGACCCCTCTTGCTCTCCAGGCTTCAGGAAGACATCCACAGCCTAGGCAGCCTCCGGGAATTCCCCGCAGGGCTCCCCACGCTGCGGATAGCAGCCTGCCGCCCGGTGCGAGGGGCGCCCTGAAGCAGGGCGCCCCTCGCGCCGGACAGACATCGGCCAGCCCCACAAGCTCGGGGGACAGCAGGGAGGCACAGCGCCGCCATCCCGCTGTTCCTCGACCTGGTTCGGTTTCCCCGACCTGCTTTTGGGGGGGAAATAAAGGAAATATTTTTTTCCTTTATTTCCCCCCCAAAAAACTAGGTGCATCCTATGGGACGGAGCGTCCTATGGGACGAAAAATACGGTAAGTACTTAACCCGAGGTACCACTGTAAAGGATCGCCTTCCTCCTTGTGTTCCAGCCCAGATGTGCAAAAAAGGGTTTAATCACCACAGAGGGGTCAATTCCCTCAGAAACTCAGCCAGATGAGTGGGGTATAAATAATACATTATCATCATTATTATAAACCATGGCAAACTAAGGCCTGGGGGCTGGATCCGGCCCAATCGCCTTCTCAATCTGGCCCACGGACAGTCCGGGAAGCAGCATGTTTTTACACGAGTAGGATGTGTCTAGGGGCCTAGGGGCATAGGAATTCGTTCATTTCTCCCTCATAAAATATAGTCCGGCCCCCCACAAGGTCTGAGGGACAGTGGACCGGCCCCCTGCTGAAAAAATTTCCTGAGCCCTGTAAAAACCTTGGGCTTGTCTGCCTCTGTTCCCTCTTCCCTCAGAGACTCAAGGGGTGAGACATCTGGTGAGGAACCAAACGAGTCCTGGGATTGTTTCTGTGGAGAAATAAGACCCATTTTTCTTTCTCCTCAGACCAGACAAGGGATGTGAGCAAACTGAGCAGAGACCAGGGAGCCATCCTCTAGTGGAGTCCTTTTCCCGCCTTTCCCGCTCCCCTGCCATGAAGAGGCTTGATGAACGCCAGGCTCAAAATGGCTGCCTTTCTGCCAGGAGCTGCCTCTTCCTTTCTCCCTTTCTCTCTCTCCTCAAGGCCTGGAGGGTCAGGGGAGCCTTTCCAAGGCCATGGGCCTTTAGAGGGCCACAGGAGTTGCCTCAGGATTTTGTTTTTTAAGGAGGATTCAAAAGGTTCTCCTGCCCTCTCCCCCAGCCCCCAGAGTAAGCCCTGCTCAACCATCCAAAATAAATTAATGACTAGACATGCCTTGTTCTGGAATAAATTAATCACTAAACACGCCTCACGAGTCCCTGAGGAATTTGGAAGTTCCCTCCTAGAGGATGGCTTGGAATTGCATTGCTGGGTGAAACTGCAAGATGGCCTTGTCCCTTTTCCTCGTTTCCTTAGGCTTTTCCCTCAGCTATTGAAAAGGCAAAGCTGCCTCTCTTTTACCACAGCTTTCCAAGTCGTTGTCTTAAGGATCTCTTGAAATTCACATATGTAGCCTTTTTAGGCCCTTTAAACCATGGGTAGGAAAAATGTTGCACCCGAGCTGGGACGAAAAGGAGCCAAACGACACCATGGGGTTAAATCCAGAGAAAGAGCTTTATTCTGCCATCCCGGGTGGGCAGAGGAGCAAGTGTGATAAATCACAAACAAGCACAAAGTTCACAGGCATTGCACAGAGTTTATATCCCCCTTTCTAGTCCCCCCCCCTTCTTCAAGAGTCCTGCCCAGGAGTTCCTCTGAGCATGAACAGAAAGCTGTCTTGGGACCATTTTTGGACACAGGAAGGGGTGAGAGGGTTTTCAGAGTGTTCCCGTTGTTTCATTCTTGTGCTTTGGCATGGTTCCCAGACAGAAAGCAAGTTGCAACGTGGTTCTTTAGCAAGGCCAAAGGCTCTGAGAAAGGCCTGAGAAGACAAGGGGCTCTGTTCTCTACCTTGTTGCAATCTTTTTTTTAGTTACAGCAAGCGCGGAATGCTTAGCTAATGCATTTTGTCTTAGAGGAAAATGCAGTTTTTAAAATGCTCGAGGCGAGGCTTTTGAGGCCTGGCTGGGGGGGAATTCACAGACAGTTTTTAGGGCTTTCTGGGGTAACCCTAACTGTACCCCTTCACTATATAGAGTTTCATTTTCTGGGGCACAGTTTGCACATGAGGGTGGATATAACCCTCTGTGTTTTCTGCCTACGCCTTGACAGTTTAATATTAAATAAGAGTGCATTCTTTAAATGTAAAATAATTTTTCTTCTTTCCTTTCTCTGTCCCTCTGGAAAGTTATTAATAGAATTGAGGAAAATTTCTATATCTTGCCTAATTAAGAGGAAGGACAGCTCCCAAGCTTTCTAGTATTCTGTGGCATGGCAAGATCCTGACCATGTGCAGAGGTTTATTTGGCTTCATCTAGCTGGAGAAGCTTCGTTTGCATATTTCTGGATGCTGTTAAAACATTCAGGAGCCATTTTTAGCTAAATGCAGTAGTGTCCATTAGGCATATTCTTTCTCCTGAGGAAGGCAGCCCTGTTTAGGGAAGTTTTTAATGTTGGATGTTTTATTGTGTTTTTAATATTTTGTTGGGAGCTGCCCAGAGTGGCTGGAGAAACCCAGCCAGATGGGCAGGGTATAAATAAATTATTATTGTTATGTACTGAAGTTTTCACCCTGGGCCAGCAGGGGGTTACTGTTGATAGTTATGCAAATAAGGGATTGAAAGTGACGTTCAGTGATTGGATAGTTTTAGAAAATTGTTACAGTTACGTTGTACTGGAGCTCTATATAAGCAGGCTGACTGAACCCTTCAGTTCAGCTCTGTCCTGGCCTGTGAATAAACAAGAGCTGTTTGAAGAATCGCTGTGTCGTCTGATATGTTCACCCACAACTTAACAATTATTATTATTATTGTTATTATTATTATTATTATTATTATTATTTATTATAACTCCTTTGACCACAGATGCATCCTGGCATCTTAGGTGATGTTGTCCCCATTTTCCACCTCCGCAGGGCACCCATTTGACCCGACCTTCTACCTCAGCCATGCCGTCTCCAATGTTATCTGCTCTGTGGTTTTTGGCCAGCGGTTCGAATATGAAGACAAACAGTTTGTCTTTTTACTTGGTGTGATCAACAAATCCTTCCGGCTCATGTTTTCCACAGAGTCGCAGGTAATGGAGGCACCTGCTCACCTGGGACAAGAGAATGCATCCATAGCCTCCTGTAACCTGCTTATTTCATGCCCTCCACTTTTTAAAAAAATGGCTCATTTTTATTTGGGTGTGGGTTGGGAGGGCATAGTACATGGCCTTGGCATTAAGGGGTCCAGACCATGGGGTGCAATACAATGAGGAAGCTTAGACAGATATGTCTGTTATTTTTCTTCAAAGATGAAGAATTTTTTCCCAGGCCTGATGCGGATCCTGCCTGGGTCTCACCAGGAAGTGCCCAAGTACGTGAAGGAGTTAATAAACTTCATCTCTCAGAGGGTCCAGATCCACCGGGAGTCCTTCGATCCAAATTGCTCCCGGGACTTCATTGACTGTTTCCTGGCCAAAATGGAGCAGGTACTTGTTGGGGGGAACCGTGTGTCTCCCAGTTATTGCAGGCTGACCTTCTCACCAGTCTTTGTTCTGACATAAAGGGCTCGTCCAGACTTCCTTTTGTTCTGCATTTCTAGGCACAGGTCCGCACTTGAAAGCACCGTGTCTAAATGCTTCCCCCTTTTTCTTTTTGGTCCTATGATTTCTCCATTACAATCTACTCTTTGCCAATGAATCGGAGCAAACAGCAATCCATGGAAAAACCCAAATTGCCATTTGTTCTGGTCCAGCATCAGGGGCGGAGCAAGGGGGGTGCAGTGGGTGTGGACCGCCCTGGGTGTCACCACTGAGGGGGGTGACAAAATGCTGGGCGGCACTCACCATGGGGCTTGCAGTGCGCCCAAGCCACGCATTTCTCCTGGGAGAGACACGGTGGCTTCGGCGCTTGCAGGCTCTGCGCTGCCCAAACGGTCCGTCCGCTGCCTCCCCCACAGCTGTAGGGCAGCTGAGTGGGAGGAGGCAGGCAGACTCCAGAGGCCCCGCGGTGTGCCCTGCCCCTATGGGCGGCTCGCCCCGCCCCTGGGCACACCGCCCCTGGCGCCTGAGCGGCTCCCTCCACCAATGTCCAGCATTGAAAAGCAGGTTTTCCTGGGGAAAGTGGCAGGGCTAACAAACAATCAAAAAGTGGTTGGCCCTGGAGCTTTAAAGCACAGACCTCTGCCTAGAAGGCAAAAGGTAAGTTTGGAAGACCCCCAAGTGTGGCTTCCTTCATGCAAGGGGCAAAGAAGAAGAAGAAGAAGAGTTTGGATTTGATATCCCGCCTTTCACTCCCTTTAAGGAGTCTCAAAGCGGCTAGCATTCTCCTTTTCCTTCCTCCCCCACAACAAACACTCTGTGAGGTGAGTGGGGCTGAGAGACTTCAAAGAAGTGTGACTAGCCCAAGTTCACCCAGCAGCTGCAAGTGGAGGAGTGGAGACGCGAACCCGGTTCCCCAGATTACGAGACTACCGCTCTTAACCACTACACCACACTGGCTCTCTCACATAGGATGAGAAAGAGCCCAGAAAGTGAGACGTCTGTGGGACTTACACTGTGCTTTCTCCACTGAAGAATGATGTACACACAAACAGGAAGCATCCGAGGATGATGTTCAAAAAAGAACGTCTCTTTCCCCAAAAGATGGGTTCTTAATTTACATAATTTGCCCAACGTGGTTTGGCCGAAAATGCCTTTGTCAACGGCTTATCCAAAAAGATAATAATATAGTATTTATTAAACTACAGTGGTACCTTGGGTTAACTTAATTTGTTCTGGAGGTCCGTTCTTAACCTGAAATTGTTCTTAACCTGAGGTACCACTTTAGCTAACGGGGACTCCTGCTGCACGATTTCTGTTCTCATCCTGAAGCAAAGTTCTTAACCCCAGGGACTATTTCTGGGTTAGCGGAGTCTGTAACCTGAAGCGTCTGTAACCTGACTGTATTGTTCAACCATACTTTACAAAAGTTTAAAAACTTACAATGGATTAGAATAAAAATTCTATTGAGTCAGATATCTAAGGTGAGGGGGACTAGGAACAGCTGCCATAACACAGTGTAAAAATAGAAAACTAAGGCCAAACACTTCTTGGTTCCTTACCAAACCAATCTCAAAAGTAAAGGTAAAGGTAAAGGGACCCCTGACCATTAGGTCCAGTCGTGACCGACTCTGGGGTTGCGGTGCTTATCTTGCTTTATTGGCCGAGGAAGCCGGTGTACAGCTTCTGGGTCATGTGGCCAGCATGACTAAGCCGCTTCTGGCGAGCCAGAACAGCGCATGGAAACACTGTTTACCTTCCCGCCGGAGCGGTACCTATTTATCTACTTGCACTTTGACGTGCTTTCGAACTGCTAGGTTGGCAGGAGCAGGGACTGAGCAAAGGGAGCTCACCCCATAACAGGGATTTGAACCACCGACCTTCTGATCGGCAAGTTCTAGGCTCTGTGGTTTAACCCACAGCGCCACCCGCATCCCAGAATCTCAAAAGTATCTGCTGTCAAAATAAATTGATAGGGCGAAATCTCGTAGGACGACCACCTCAACCTGTACACTTAAATATTTTCTGTCAAGCACAGATGTCTTCATTTTCATTAACTCCTATCCAGTCAATCTCATTCAGGGAATGCATAAATCAAAATATTTCTATATAATAGAGGGTGACAATATACAGCATAATTGATCTTTCATAATTGATCTAAATATACGAAAAGGAAATCCTGTTGGCCATACACCAGCCTTCCATAAAATATTTGTGTAGGCATGCTGATTGGCTCCTGGTTGTATAACTTGCTCTCTTCTTTCCTCCTCTTCTTCCTCCCTGCGCCAGGAGAAAGAGAACCCAACTTCGGAATTCCATAATGAGAACTTGGCTGTTACGGTTCTTAACCTGTTCTTTGCAGGAACAGAGACAGTCAGCACCACCCTCAGATATGGGCTTCTCATCCTCCTCCGATACCCAGAGATAGAAGGTGAAAAAACAAGACCAAATCTTCCTCACTCCGTCTTGTTGCCCGTCTTTTGGGCTTCCTTATGGGTTCCTTCCTTGCCAAATAAACCAGGACTCCCTTTTAGCTCTAGCCTATGAAAGTTCCACTGGGACAAAACCTGAACTTTAGCCTGCCCAGGTCCTTTCTTTGAGCACTCCTACTATTCTAGGGTTCACACAGGAACAGTGGTGGTTTGATGTGAAATTGCTACTGGGAATAATCTGGAGTAGTTTTAGACCATTCCTAGCAGCTTCTTGAGATGATGGGGCAGGTTATTGGCTTTTGCATGACTGGAAGGTAGCCAACTGTCCAGTGTTAAGAGAGTCACACCTGTTGCTCCATCCACTTTTGGCTTTGGTTCTACCCACCATTGTCATGTGGTCCCTGAAAGGTTCTACACAAAAGACTACGGTCCCTGCTTTCCAAAAGGTCTTCCTTACCCCCAGTCTAGCCCCTTATTATCTGCTTTGAGTGGCAGCAGCACCCCAGGCTCTCAGGTGGAGAATGGTTTTTTCTATCAGCTTCTACATTAATCCTTTAATTGGAGATGCCAGAAACAGACCCTTCTGTATGCAAAGCATGAGCTCCATTTTGATTTTACTTTTCTACACTGCTCTGATATATATCAGAATTGGAGAATAGCCTCTACCAAAGGCATCATGGAACTTTGAAGAAGCACAAACTCAGGATGAAAGGGAGACACGTTTGGCAAATTCTCACCACGATCAACTCCCGCCCAGAAACCTATGTCCCTACTGTGGAAGGATGTGTGGATCCAGAATTGGCCTCCACAGTCACTTATGGACACACTGTTAAGACCATATTCATGGAAGACAATCTTAATCAGCCAAGAGTGATCGCCAAGGAAAGAAAGGCTATCAAAAATCTTTCCTCCTCCTATAAATGCATATATCTAACCACCTTCCACCGCCTGGGTACCACAGTTTATAGTTTTAACCCTTCTCTCTTCTTTACAGCTAAGGTCCAAGAGGAGATTGACCGTGTCATTGGGAGGAACCGCAGCCCCTCCTTAGAGGACCGGAGTCAGATGCCCTTCACGGATGCTGTCATTCATGAGATCCAGCGCTTTATAGACGTCGCCCCACTGGCACCTCCTCATTTGGTGACCTGTGACACACATTTCCGGGGCTTCAGCATTCCCAAGGTGCGGTGAGGCATGTGGCCAACAGAAGCATTAGTGCTAGGTCCAAAATCCTACCTGCAGGTGGAACTGTGCACATGTGTGTTCGCACCCCCCTGTGAAAGAGTAGGAAGCTGCAGTGGCCTAGACCAGGCATAGGCAAACTCCGGCCCTCCAAATGTTTGGGACTACAGTTCCCATCATACCTAGAAACCAGTGGTCAGGGGTGATGGGAATTGTAGTCCCAAACATTTGGAGAGCTGGAGTTTGCCTATGCCTGGCCTAGATGGTTGTGGTTCCACTTTCCATCATTTACAGGAAGCAGAAGGAGATGTGCGTCTGTGTAGTTCAGCAAACTCGAGGACTAATCAGTGAGGCAGGATGCCTGTGGTGCAAATCACGCCTGATGGACAGAAAAGCAGTCCCTCATCACTGTGGAAGGACTTTAGTATGGCAGCAAACTCAGTCACACACAACATCCTGTTATAATTGTGCTGTCTTACCTTAAATAACCTGAGCCATCTCCACTCCTGCATTTGAGCAGGTTTGAACTAACTACGTTTCTTATTGTGTTATTAATGCAGAAAGTGCAAGAGGTTTAAGCTGTAGGTGGGTCTGGCACAGGGCGAAAGATCAAATGCAGGATAAAGAGGAAACAGAAGGCCCTGAACTGAATCAGTTGCAGTAATAATAGTAGTAGTAGTAGGAGTAGGAGTAGTAGTAGTAATAATTTCTACTCCACCCATATGGCTGGGTTTCCCCAGCCACTCTGGGCCGCTTTCAACAGAACATTAAAAACATTTAAAACCTTCAAATTCCATGCCGCCTTTGGTAGAGGCTACTCTCCAATTCTGATATATTTTATATATCAGCAACCGTTGCTTTTGGGGTCTCTGTCTTTCCTCTCCAGGGAACCACAGTTGTGCCATTCCTGTCGTCCTCCCTGCATGACCCCCAGCACTTTGAGACACCGAGGAAGTTCAATCCTCAGCACTTCCTGGATGAAAGAGGGTCCTTCAAGAAGAATGAGGCCTCCCTCCCATTTTCAACAGGTATTGCACATCAGCTTCATGGTAGGGAGGAACACATGGGAGGGCAGGCTCGGCTAAACCTTAGAAGGAATTAAGGATGTGAAGGAGGAAAGAAAGAGTGAGAAGGGCAAGGATGTCGGGTTAATTAATAGGAAAATAAGTCTTGGATTGAGCATTGTGTTAGTATTGCGGGAATCGTTGCCAATAAAGCAGACACGGGTTCTTCCAAGGAAACAACAACACCACAAACTGGCTAGAATAGAGATAGACCTGTAACCATTCAAGCAACAAACATACTAAGGTGCCATGTGCAAGACAAAGCCTGGAGATACTGTAAACATGGAGTGGATAAATGTACAACTTTATCTTAACAAGTTACATGTGCAGTAAACGTTATACAGACTGGATAAATGAACCGTTCAACAAGTAGCGTAAGTCCAATCACAGAACGGCAACCCTGTGCCGCCACAACGGCAAGGGTAGCACACTGGACAATATGAAAGTTTTTCAAAGCTGTTTTTCAAAGACTGAACGGGATGAGATGTTCTTTAATGGGTCTTGAGTTGGAAACACAAAGTCGTATGCATGGATTAATCACGGGAAGGCAAATCAAAGCCACCACCCTGGTGAGAATAACGCAAGTGGGCAACAGTTTTCTCAGGATAAAGAAAGTATTCACAGACACAGCTAGTGTTCAGACTCATAGCAAGCAGTTAAATACAATACAGGTGTATAGAATCAATCATCACATGATTACATGGTGCGGCATCACTTTCTGTTACAACCAAACAACAGTATACAGTGGTGCCCCGCAAGACGAATGCCTCGCAAGACGGAAAACCCGCTAGACGAAAGGGTTTTCCGTTTTTCGATGCGCTTCGCAGGACGAATTTCCCTATGGGCTTGCTTCGCAAGACGAAAATGTCTTGCGAGTCTTGAGATTTTTTTTCGCGCCCCCCCCTTTTTCTAAGCCGCTAAGCTGCTAATAGCCTTTTAGCAGCTAAGCCACTAAGCCGCTAAGCCTTTAATAGCCGTTAAACCGCTAATAGCGCTAATCCGCTAATCCGCTAATAGGGTTGCTTCGCAAGACGAAAAAACCGCTAGACGAAGAGACTCGCGGAACGGATTAATTTTGTCTTGCGAGGCACCACTGTACATATTAACTCATACACAGCATCCCAGATCGAATTCCAGTATTCAGACCCTTTGGATATAAGGTACCTAACTGAAATATTAATTTATACTCCTTTTGCAGCTGGGCATTTATAGTACTGAACAAACAACTTGTCACGTGACATAATATATGTGCATGTCCAAAGCAAGATTATAAACTGCTACATAAGCAAAAACTGAAGTCCCAAGAATCCCACCCCCACCAGTACATGATTGTCAACGCTGTTGTAAATAACTCTTGGGGGGGGGGAATCTCAAGCAGACTCTGTCTGCTCACAAAGAACCGGTGGGATAGCCATGGACCACTGGGGCAGGTAAATCCCACCGTGTTCTGTTACATGGTTAGTATGCATGTTGGGGACCCGCATTACATGTAGCCATTTGCATCATGTAGCAACCCATGTCCCAGCTGTGAGCTAAATCTCCATGATTCACCTATTAGCTGTATTCCTGCCCCAATGGGGCAGCCTGCAAATTCATCAGTTTCATAAGGCAACAGAGTACCATAACTCCTCTATTAGAAACACACTCAAGGAGTTACAGGGATACACATTATCACACTTATTGTGGCCCTCTGGGCCACCACCACAGTTGGAGGAATATCGTTCTAATATTAATATTACTATTATAATTATCAGGGACGCAGGTGGCGCTGTGGGTAAAACCTCAGTGCCTAAGACTTGCTGATCATAAGGTCGGCGGTTCGAATCCCCGCGGCGGGGTGAGCTCCCGTCGTTCGGTCCCAGCTCCTGCCCATCTAGCAGTTCGAAAGCACCCCTAAGTGCAAGTAGATAAATAGGGACCGCTTTATAGCGGGAAGGTAAACAGCATTTCCGTGTGCTGCGCTGTTGCTGGCTCGCCAGATGCAGCTTCGTCACGCTGGCCACGTGACCCGGAAGTGTCTTCGGACAGCGCTGGCTCCCGGCCTCTTGAGCGAGATGAGCGCGCAACCCTAGAGTCGGTCACGACTGGCCCGGACGGGCAGGGGTACCGTTACCTTTACCTTTATTATAATTATCAGGCCAGTGCAGAGCTTGTCTGTGGCCCGGGGCAGGGGTTCTCGGTCATCTGGGAATAACAGGGTGTTTCTGGCATGGCAGTGTAAGTCTGGCGGGGCCCCCTGGCCAGCTTATCATTCGGAAGCCCAGGGCAAGTGTCCCCAGCTGCCCCTCCCACCCTTTGCACGGGCCTGAATATTATTATTATTAAATTTGTATACTGCCTGAAATATACTCGGAGTCGAGAGTGGATTTCATGCTCTTTATTCAGCTCATAGCGGTGAGGAGGAATGGAAGTTCCCCCAGAATGTCTGCTTTATATACATTATTTACACAATGGGCCCCACGTGACTGGCTAATTCTGGGATTCACCTGTAGGCCAATCAGGTTGTGGATTCACTTCCACCTGGAGCTGGATTGGGTGGCTCCTGTGGACCAATCAGACTCCTGCATTCTGGACCCTATTATTCTAGGACCAATCAGACTGCTGCCTTTTGGATCCTATTCAACTCAGTACATAACACTGCCCTTCACCCGAAAATCTTAGGGCAGTTCGCAACATACAAAATGAAAACACAAAATACATAATAAAATCCTACAGTGGTACCTTGGTTAAGAACTTAATTCGTTTCGGAGGACTGTTCTTAACCTGAAGCACCACTTTAGCTAATGGGGCCTCCCGCTGCCGCCTTGCGATTTCTGTTCCCATCCTGAGGTAAAGTTCTTAACCCGAGGTACTATTTCTGGGTTAGTGGAGTCTGTAACTTGAAGCGTCTGTAACCTGAGGTACCACTCGTCTTTCTTGTTTCTCCAGGGAAAAGGGTCTGCCTTGGCGAAGGTTTGGCCCGTATGGAGCTCTTCCTATTCTTCACAGCGGTGTTGCAAAACTTCCACCTAAAATCCCTCCAGGAGAGGGAGGAAATAGACATTTCAGCGGATGTGCAAGGCAGTTCAAAGCTTCCCCGGCCTTATAATCTTTGCGTGGTTCCACGGTAAATGGTCCCTGCTGCATGAGCACTGAAATATTTGGGGGATGCAGATGCCTCTTCTATGTCTCTCTCTCTGATTGGGAGATAATATTAACACAAAGAAGGTTCGTGGCTGGAAAACTGCTTTGAAAATCACTGTGACTAAAGTGTGTTATGTGTAGAACTCAATATAAAAGGAGTCTGCCCTGCTTGTGCTTCTTCTGTTTTTGATTTTTCTCATGGTAGTGTTGTAAATAAAAATATGCCCTTTTCCCTTATGGGGTATCCAAGAGCCCATATAGAGTCCTTACATAGGTTCCCTATTGGTAGGAGAGAATAACAGAGGCCAACCAGAGAATATTGAGAAGCAAAGCAGCTAGTAAGCCTGATCTTTATTGAACTGTTGCAACAGGGTGCTACCCTCACATGCAGGAAAGGAGGAGGACCCAGAAAAATGCTGTGCAAGGGCTTATAAAGACTTTTGAAATTCCCATCCTGTAGATCAAGACCACCCCCAGAAACATCATACATACATCACAGAAGGGGTGTAACCTAAGACCACCCCTCAGATACATCACAGAAAAGGTGGTCTTAAAACAGAAATTTCAATATTGTTTTTCTCTTGTTCTTGTTTATCTCCTGTCTGGCAGGTTACTTGATTGGATTGCCTGGGGAGCCTGGCCAGTCTTTTGTAGTGATAAATACTTAGTTCCTGGGCCAGGTCACAGGCTCACACCCTATTCAAACACAGACATACCCTTAAGACAGGATTTGTGAAGGAAAAGACAATGGGGAGGCTTTTCCAGTTTGACCTTGCAGAGAAAAATTTGCTCAGTTTAGGAATCAAAATGGTTCCAGGTTGGCCTTCCTGTGTATGTGCGGTTATGAACATTACCATATATCTAAGACCTCAAAATTCCTATCACAGTAGGAAAAAAAAAGAGTATTAACCGGGAGAAGAAAGCAACAAATAGGTGAGGTGGCTCACTCAATATTTTATTCTGTGGGAGAAACGCAGAATGTCTTAAGAGGAGAATTTAAGATCTTTATAGAAGATATACACAGACACATTGGAGGAAGTGCCTGGGGTATGCAGCGTTGTGCATGCTTCAGTTTAGTCTAAACACCTTCTCTCTGTCTCTGAATGGAAGATAACACAGTACATACCGGTACCTTGGCTGTGAGTCCTGGAAGACCTGCTCGCTGCCTTGCAGGATTTTCCCCACCTTGCTTGGCAGGGCAAGGCCCTGACTGACTCCAGCTCCAAGAGCTGTGGCTGCTGAGGAGGCCAGAGGCCATCTTTAGTGCAGATCCAGGTCATCAAGCCTGAGCCTGAGCTTCCACAACTGCCACCAGCCATGAACCACCCCATAAAATGCAGTAATCTAACCTAGAAGTTAACACCAGAAGTCGGCTGAAGCCTTGTTTTTCTGCAATGGGTGGAGATGGAATTAAAATTGGGGTTTCACCCTGACACAGGGCTCATCCACACTTCTGTTTTCCCATGTTTTCTAGGCATGGGTCTGAGAGGTTTTTGGTTTCCCTCACGGCTTTCCCTGGGAAAACCCCCTGCTCACCCCTGTATCATAACAAACATCAACCAGGTTTTCTGCATTGCATCCATTGCATTTTTCAACAAAGACTTTGCTGAAAAAGCACAGGAAGGCAACAGGGAAAAGCCAGAGGAATCTGCTGGATTTAGATGTCACCGCTGATGAATTACTATTTTCTCAGTCAAAGTTAGCAGTATAAACATTGAAGCAGAATGTTTGTTGAAAACCCAGCCATTGTAAGTTGGGTGGGGTGAGAAGGTACATAAGGAAATAATAATAATAATAATAATAATAATAATAATAATAATAATTTATTATTTGTACCCCGCCCATCTGGCTGGGTTTCCCCAGCCACTCTGGGCGGCTTCCATAGAAACCAAGAATACACTAAAATATCACAGATTAAAAACTTCCCTGAACAGGGCTGCCTTAAGATGTCTTCTGAATGTCAGGTAGTTATTTATCGCTTTGACATCTGATGGGAGGGCGTTCCACAGGGTGGGCGCCACTACCGAGAAGGCCCTCTGCCTGGTTCCCTGTAGCTTTGCTTCTCGCAATGAGGGAACCACCAGAAGGCCCTCAGCGCTGGACCTCAGCGTCCGGGCAGAACGATGGGGGTGGAGACGCTCCTTCAGGTATACTGGGCCGAAACCATTTAGGGCTTTAAAGGTCAACACCAGCACTTTGAATTGTGCTCAGAAACGAACTGGGAGCCAATGTAGGTCTTTCAAGACCGGTGTTATGTGGTCTCGGCGGCCGCCCCCAGTCACCAGTCTAGCTGCCGCATTCTGGATTAGTTGTAGTTTCCGAGTCACCTTCAAAGGTAGCCCCACGTAGAGCGCATTGCAGTAGTCCAAGCGGGAGATAACTAGAGCATGCACCACTCTGGCGAGACAGTCTGCGGGCAGGGAGGGTCTCAGCCTGCGTACCAGGTGGAGTTGGTAGACAGCTGCCCTGGATACAGAATTGACCTGCGCCTCCATGGACAGCTGTGAGTCCAGAATGACTCCCAGGCTGCGCACCTGGTCCTTCAGGGGCACAGTTACCCTATTCAGGACCAGGGAGTCCTCCACACCAGCCCGCCCCCTGTCCCCCAAAAACAGTACTTCTGTCTTGTCAGGATTCAACCTCAATCCATTAGCTGCCATCCATCCTCCAACCGCCTCCAGGCACTCACACAGGACCTTCACTGCCCTCAGAAGCCCTCAGAAGCTAACCCTGGACGTATCTCCTTTTATTTTTATTTATTTTTTATTTCCAAAACCGAAAAAAGAAAAATTACAAACATGAAATTCAACATCCATATTCATTTTTTAACTTATACCTATTACATAATTAACTAAATTAAAGTATACCTAATCACTCTAAACTTCTCTTTGCTGTATACAAATACAACAGTTAGAAATTTTATATTAAAGCTTTTATATTATAAATAATATTTCAAATTCCCCTAATCCCCCGTTCCCATTCACAAAAGCACAAAGATTCACAAAATGTTTAGGGTACGTGTACCCCTGCATATCACCAGAAAAAAGCACTGCTCAGAAGTAAGCCTCATTGAGTTAAACTGAACTTTATTCCAATTTATTCAAAGGGAACATTAGCAAATAAATAGTCCCACCCATTTACCTGGGAGTAAACCCTGTGGGAAATTGTGGGATTTAACTTCTGAGCCATGGGTGCTTGGATACCAAACTGCAAGACTGTAATCTGACAGGCTAACAATTCCGGTTGCACCTCTGAAATCAGTGTGTCTTTCTGTTGCGTAACCACCAGGCGTCGTTCCTTAGAAGAAAGACTTTAAAAAACCCATGATTCAAGCCTAAACTCCACAACCAGATTTTGCTTCCCTTAGGAGAACTTGCTTGTTTTATTCTGCATGGAGGGATTGCGGAAATGATGGTGCCTTGTACACGACAGTGGGTCTTTTGGACGGGAACGCAATTCCTGTGCACCTTTTACTCCGAAGCAAGCCCATCAGCGCTCCTTGCCTCCCTCGTAAACGGGGCTTGGCAGCCGAGGTAGTCCCACAACCCAAAACACCTGCTCTATAAGGGGCAGGATTCCGCCAAGGATCGCAACGGGGTCAAGCGCACGTGAAGCGCCTGGAAGACGCGTAATGATGCAGAAACAAGCCCCGTTGCAATCTAGGGACTTGGGTTGCTGCGGCATCCGACAGGAGGGTCTTGCTCGAGAGTAAGTCCCGTTGGTGTCATTGGAGGCTGATGCAGAAATCATAGGCAGTAACACAGCCATTCCACTAAATCATTTCCAGCTGCCGACGCAGAGCAGAGCCAAGCGCTTCTCCCTTTCCTGCCTGATTTTGCCACCTTCTTCATTCGCTACACCTGTGCAGGTGTTCGGAGGAACGCGATTGGAGGAGAGGTGAGGGCGGGGTCGGAGTCCTCTGACGTCCCAAGGCTCCGTGTTTGCTAGAAAAGGCTGTGCAGGGAGCAGAGTTCTCCATTTGCTTTGCGCGGGGGAGACTAGAGGGAGGGAGCATGTGTGGAATTGCGTTTGCTAGGTAACAAAACAGCTTGGTGGTCTAAGGCTTCTGAAAAGTAGAGAGGGATTAATTTAGCAAGGGACTCGTTTTGCAGCCTCTCTTTAACATAGAAGTTTCTGCTCTAGCCTTTGAGGCGGTTTTTTTTCTTTGATAAACTTGTTTGAAAACACTTTTTGAAAGGACTGCAGATAATTTTTTTTAAAGCTTAAAAAAAATCTGGGAGTGGGAAGCTTGAGCTTGAAATTTCCTATCAAAAAACATTAAGGGGTATTCCTTTAATAGAGGTAGCTACTTTAAAAGTGAGTTTTTACTTGAAATAAATCTCTAGGCGGTTTACAATATTGCGAAAATATCCCTGAAAATGGGGGGGGGGGGAAAGGCACAGTTTAAAACAAAGCTTTTTAATTAGCTAACCAGAAAGGAAGCTTTAAAAGCTGGAACTGAAAGCAGTTTGTGTTTTCCTCACCAAGAATCAACAGCAGTGCACCCAGCAAAGTGGTGCAATTTACAGAGGAAAGATTGTGCTCTTCTAGAACTAGGAAAAAAATTGATGCGCCTATAAGGTTATAGCTGATGGATCAAAGGACCTTTCCAGTTGTGGTATATATGCAAGATAATAGGCTGTGAAGTTTGGCTCTCTTACACAAGAGTCAGAAAGTTTGCTGTCTGGAAGGGGCTGAAATCTGAAGAATGGCAACTTCTAGTGCAGAGTTTCTGAGACCCACTGGGCTTGCCTGAAAGAGCTGGAAGTTACTGAGGTCTACTAGTCCCCAAACAAAATGGCAATAGACGGAGGTGGGGTTTGGCATAACCAGCTGGAAATCGCGAGTTCATACTGACCTCTAATCCAACTTCAGAAATAGCCATAGTGTTTAATAATAATAATAATAATAATAATAATAAATTTTTATTTATATCCCGCCCTCCCCAGCCAAAGCCGGGCTCAGGGCGGCTAACAATAATAAAATA